TATGTTCCCAAACTTCGTTTGGGGAACATAACTAGAAACGATCTCGTTGCGAGCAACGAGTAGGTCTTCCGTCCGAATTTTCGATAAGATGAGATATGATTTTGATATGATCCTTGTTAAAACATAATGATATCATGCTTTCTCTCTTTTGATCAAATCCTTTTGATTTAGATTATATCATCAATGAGTTATAGATAAAATTCTTTTGTCCCCTCTGGGCCCTTTATTTTAGGGATCAGCTCCTTTTTCTTCATTTCAAATGATACGGCTTGTAACTTTAATAATTTTTGTTCAACAACTATTCAGAAATTTCTTTTCGTTTTTGAGCTATGCATGATAGAAATATATAGAGGCCAGCCCTTCAAGTCCTTAATGGGGCCGTTTTGCAAAAATTGAATTGTTGTATATTGTTTAAAATACGATTCTAAAGATCTCTTATTCAATACTCCTTATCAAAATATTTCTCCCTTTGGAGATAAAAAGAAGCAAAGATTTCAGCATCTTGGCTCCTTATGGCCCTTTTTTACGTAACGTATGATCATATTTTTTTAATGTTTTGTTGTAGATTGTTAAGAAAAACATTTTTGCTTTTAGAAATATATAACAGAATCTTGATAGTTAAAGAGTTATGAATTGAAACGTTATTGTCCCTCTAGGCCCTTTATTTGAGGGGTCAGACCCATTTTCTTCTTATTAAATGAAAGAACTTGTTATTCTGAACAACTTTTATTACATATCTGTTAACCAAATTTACAGGTACAAAGATATCAAAGAAAACGTGTCAAATTTTGCGAGATACTTGTGAGTCTATTTTTCGAGCCCAGGCGAGCTTCAAATATGACACAAGTGTGCATTGGAAAACATTGGTCACGTTTTGTACTTACTATAAATATTGTTTTTAAAAATATTTATTATAACTATCATTTAAGCTATGTGTTTCCGTGATGCAAAACAAAAATTAGTAGATATTGTACTTAATTTGAACATTAATTCTTTTCTATTTCTACTTTGAGAAACAACCAAAACCAATTAAAAAAAGACTTGTAAGGATACCTTGGATTATAAATGTAGTTTGACATAGAACTGCAACGAACATACGACGTGGCAATCCAAGTATTCCTACACATTTCATTGCTCCTTATGTAACTTTCGTTCAAGCAAACGCTCGGCTGCCTCTGTAAACCCCTATTGCGAAATGTCGGAATTGACAGAGACCGCCGCCATTATGGTCCCGCTTCAGACTTTTGAATGTTAATATCTCGAGTTCGAATTAAGCAATTTACAAACAAATTATATATTCAGCCTAATACTAAATGTTTCTATCAACCATACTAATATCATTTGAAAATATTGAAAAACAAAAAAGTTTTAAAAATTCGACTTTTTTTTTGCATGCCGCTACGACAGGAAGTAGAGACGACGTAGAAAAGATCGCGTCCTGGATAGTACTTATCACGATCTATAATCCCTGAAAGTTTCACAGTCATATCTTTTTCCGTTCTTGAGATTATCCGCGAACAAAATGTCATTTTAAAATCAGAAAACTGTCCGTAACTTGGCACCAGAAAGGAATTTCCAAAAAATTTCTCGGATCAAATAACTTCAGATAGCAACACATTGTTCCTGCAAATTTCATGAAAATCCATCCAGTAGTCTTCGCATGTGAGTTAAGGCTACATATGGAAATTTCTATACAAAATATCTAATAAATTCCATAATTGCTCTACCTACCGCACAGAAAATGCTAAGACTTGTTTTCTAATAAATTCTTAATACCCACGACATGCAATAGCCAGTACACATTATGACGTCATATTATGACGTCATCGACCTGTACTACACAAGTTTATAAGAAACATCAACAAAATCGCTTCGGCGCAAGGGCATACCTTACTTTATTTTACAGAAACAAGGTATCAAAAGACGCAGGATATTCCAAGGATTTAGGTTATTGCTGCACAAATGTCGGCAATGCAATTGGTTACTTACTATTCGTGCAGTTTTAAGTTTTAACAAGATAAAAATTCACTGTCCAGGGTAAGTTTCCTAAAATTTTTATCAATTGAGAAAGTGCATAGGATTTGTGCAGCAATTTTATTAATTCTAAGATTATTCTCCTTAATATTATACATTGTTTATTTTAAATTAGATAGGATAGGCCCTTGCGCCGACGTGATTTTGTTGATATGATTTAATACCTTGAATGGGAGAGAACAATGACTTCATAATATGACGTCATAATGTGCACTTGCATAAATAAACCGTGGGTACTGAGTATGTATCAGAAAATCAATTTGAACCTTCTCTGTACATAAAATATACAAATTATGAATTTTCATTCGCTTATTTGCATAAAAATATCAATATTTAGCCTTAACTCACTTGCGTTTGAGAAATCGCGTACACAAAATTAGATGGTCAGAAAAATAACAATAAAAACGAGCTCAGACAAGCTTCAACGCTTTATGCGCTGGAAAGATATAAACTCAAAAAAGCAATTCAGCAATCCTTCCTCTACTTTCACTGTAAATCTCAAGTCAATATCTTCATTTGTTTTTAAGTGATTGCCCGGACAAGCTGACCCTCTTAAAATCAGAAAATCGTCCATATCTCACGACCGGAAGTGACGACGTACATACAAAAAATTTCCAATAAGGTTCAGACCAATATCTATCAGATCTGAAAGTTTCGTGAAAATCGGCTGAGCCGTTTCCGAGAATTCGCTTGCACAAAAATCGGTAAGAAAAAAAATAATAATAATAATAGGGAAAAAGAAACCGAACGAAAACAATAAGGTCTTCCGTTGGAAACGGAAGACCTTAATAATAATAATAATAATAACTAGTGCTAATTGTAACGGGAACCGTTACAGATGTTCCCCAAACACTCCCCAACTCCCTTCTTGTGCCATATTCCCTGTAATTTTAATTAAAGAAGGCAAAATCTATGCATTTAAGACGTAAACAACGTTTTCCCAAAAGTATACCAAGTATTTCAAATTTAAGCAATGCAGGCGTGCGCATGTGATTGCATGAGCGTAATGACGATATCATCTTGTCTACATTATTTTACTCATATGCACGTGCACGCACGTGCATGATGACCATACCTTCTTGTAGGAGTCCATTATGTTTGTCTATGTTCTTAATCCCATCCTGTTTGGTTGAAAAACAAGGGAGTTATAGCCATTTAAAGTTTAAGCCAATCAGATTGCAGCGCACGTGCATGCGCGTGTTTTCATGACAATTATTGTATATCTTATTGTAGGACATCTTAAAGTATGCCTATGTTTTAAATTTCAAAGCATTTTGTGAAAAAAAAACAGAAAAAATATAGAGATTTTTGTTTCAGCCAATCAGAGCAAAGCGCACGTGCACGCACGTGCATGCATGTGAATGGTGACCATACCATCTTGTAGGAGTCCTTTATGTCTATCTATGTTCTAAATCCCATGCTGTTTGGTTGAAAACCAACGGAGTTATAGTCATTTGAAGTTTCAGCCAATCAGATTGCAGCGCACGTGCATGCGCGTGATTTCATGAAAAATTCTATATATCATATTGTAGTACATCCTAATACATGTTTATGTTATAAATTTCAAAGCATTTCATCATAAAACAAAAAAGATATTAAGATTTCAGTTTCAGCCAATCAGAGCAAAGCGCACGTGCATGCGCGTGAGTTCATGCAAATTTGACCATGTCATCTTATCTACACAACTTATATATCTTTATATAATGAGTTTCAAAACATTTTATCAAAAAATATAAAAGTTACAACCATATTAAATATATCAGTCATTTTACTCACTGCACGCGCCCGCACGTGCATGCGAATGCGCGCAAAATGACCTTCGTTCGGCACATCTACACAACATGCCTACTAACCCTAAAAAGGTTTTAACTTAGTTTGGTGAACAGTTTCTGAGAACACTTCCGGACAAAAAAAGTACCGGAGAAGAAATAAGAAGAAAAAAGAATAATAATAATAATAATAATAATAATAATAATAATAATAATAAGAAGAAGAAACAGAGTAAAAACAATATGTTCCCCAACTTCGTTTGGGGAACATAATAATAATAATAAGAAACAGAGTAAAAACAATATGTTCCCCAACTTCGTTTGGGGAACATAATTATCAACAATGATCAGTCATTATTATTTTAAGTATATACACGAAAAAGTGTCAGGTTTCGATAATTTAGGCTGCATTTAAGTGTAACATGCACATATAATTACTGCTGATATTCTAAGAACACAACAATATAATATAAATTGAATGTCTTAAGAACACAACTATATAACCAGGTTTGACAATGTCACGTGCAACGAACATAACAATATAACATGGTTTGACAATGTCATGTGCAAAGAAACACAACACTATTCTGTATCGACAAAGCAATGCACGAACGAGACACTGGTACATGCATCGACAATACAAAATCGCAAGAACACAACAATATAACGAAAATCAACAATATTATGTTATAAGTACAAACAGTGATACATGTCCATGTATTGAAAATGCTAAGCATTAAGTAAATTACAATTTCAACGTATCGACAAAGCTAGGTCGTATGTTTTCTCCAGTTTGCAGTTATCAGTCGTAAATAAAGTACACAACAATACTAAAATAAGTAAAACAATGTAATGTCATAAGTACATAACAATTTTACAAGTACTGACAAGATCTCGCATCTTACTCATGTGAAAGAAGTATGAACTGTGCAGAAACGTTTTCTGATTTGGAAGAGCGCATGCACACTTTCATAAACTTTCACAAAGTCAGCAGGCCTATTAAATTAAACTCTGTATGTTTTCCTGGACCATTCTTTAATTAAGGTAACATTTTCTTCTATGATTTGATTTACTTTTCTGCTGAAAAAAATCTTCTATTTGAAACTTTCGCTAAAAGCAAAACATATACCATGCCTTAGCTAATCCTTCGTTAAGGGTTATCGTAACTGTGTCGTAACTGTGAGGTACTTTTTTCAGAAAATACAACTGAATGTGGGAGACCTCTGTACTTATGGAGTAGTGAGTTGGTGTAATATCGGCGATATCATCGGCAGGAAATCTCAGGCTTGCCACGTTATCACCTCCGTGTTTGTATTCCGCTCAGGGCTGGTTATTATCTGCAGAAAAAAGGTAAGGAAGTCAATTTTAATGAAAGCAATAAAATCATCTTCATTAATTCAAAAAAATCATCTTGTAAAGACAGATTAAATAAACAAGTGCTCAATTTGAAATTTTATTTCCTTAAATGTAAAAAAAATATCCCAATTTTTATTGGTCATAAAGGTCATAAAACAATTGAAATAGGAGGGGGGGGGGGGGACTAAGACCTCCAAAACATCAGAGATGTGATCAGGTGCCGTGAGGGAATGATCATGCTAACATGTCTTAACGAACTAAATGTAAAGTACTCAGTAAGTTAAATATATACGAATTAAAACCAATATAAAAAATCATTAAATAATTATTGTAGAAAACTGAGGAGGGGAAGGTTGACTGTCCCTGCTCGTCAGAAATATTCCGCACCGTCATTCCCGTCCAAGACATGGTTCTTGATGTCGTCACAGGAAAATCCGGGGCTCTGTACCAATGGAACATTACACAGTCACCTATAGACAATCTGCCACATCGGACTTACAAATTTTGCAGCAGGTCCGGTTTCTCCCATTTAACTTTCTAAAAAAAATTTTTTTTTTGAAATATTTAATCGTGTACCTTGGAGAAATGGTTTCAATCATTTATTTTTTTCATACTTCATCTCTTTTCAATGTGAGTACTAGTAAGGATACATAACTTATTTTTTTTAAACAGTTCAGCAGAGGAAAAGTCCAGATTTGTCACCGCCATTCGTGGGACTACACGACCTCCAGTAAAACACCTGAACACGCCTATCTCAGAAAATCATACCAAACACTTTTCACCAAAGCTGGAATGTATAACACGGAAACTCAGGACTATCCGGAATAAAAACCCACGAGGAGGTTCGGAAGTCCACTCGGATTGAAGAAAAATTCCGAAGACTGACGATATGTTCAAAATTACTCTGTGATTCAATACTTCGCAATAGCTTTTGTTGATTTTCCTTATTTTTTTTTTAATTTATATTTGCATAATTTACCAGAATAGTTTGTTTAAAACAAATTTTACTTCTTTTTTGTAAATGAATTATTTGTCATAGTTGGAAGCATAACTGTCATTTTTTTTTAATTTAAGATTTTATATAAATGTCTGATACTGGGAATCAGTTTTTATTCACGTGCAAAAAATATTTCAACTTTTGTGATTTTTTATTCTCAATTACTTATCGCCTCGAACCAATTATTTAATTGGTTTTTCATTTGTTTATCGCCAAAATATTTGCAAAATAGTGGCTTTATTTCAAATAAAGAAGAAGTGAATAAAAATCGTCACAAATAATTGTTTGTTTACAGTGAAAGTAAGAGTCACCACCAAGTTTTATAGTTAACTTATACAAAGTCAATGAAATCATGATATTTTGAGGAATATTATTTTAATTAGAGAATGTTTGTAAAAGTTAATATAACAAATTTGTTTAATTATTCTATTAAATACTCCAAAATAAATTGGTATGTGTTCACTACTGTATTTGTTTGCATACATTTATATAAAAATGGTTACCATTAGTTGTGCAAGGGTGTCCTCTACCTACCGGTATTCCGTTTTTGAAGAATCCTAATTCTTCCCTTTACCACTTGCAAATAACAATAGATGTTTTGATGGTTAACTTGTTTTCATAGCAATAAGACCAACTATATATCTCTTTTTAGATTTTACTATACATTTTAAGACAGAAAATAAAAAGATGTATGTAAAAATATAAATTTCATTTCAATATATGCATTTTAGCATTAAAAATGGTCCTTCCAAAAAAAAAAACTTGTCCATTTCTTTGTTTTTGGAGCTTATAATGATGAGATTTATTAAAAAGGCAAAATTTAGAGAAAAAATAGATTCACTGAAAAAAATTTAAGGGCATATGCAATGTGATATTCAAATAAATAAATAACGTATATAATTAATTTATGTGCTTCAATTTCTTTGAAATATTTGTACAAGTCTAACCTTTCTTTGGAATATTAGAAAAAAAGTCAGATTTATTATTTAAAAGAGCCAATCTACATGTACAAGTCCCCTATTCTGCCTGGTTTAATTAATCACTATTTTTACAGAAATTATATGTGTTTACATTTAATAATTTGTTTCCCATCTATTCCCATGTCAATTTACCTGTCCCTACCCGAACATTAAAAAGTGGTCTAACCAGACTGAGTAAAAATATATAGAGTAGAATACGACAGACATATTGGAATACGAACACATGTAGCTCATAGCCAAAAAGTTGTAATTGTGAAATGATTAGAAGTTATTGTTTACTTCTAAAAGTATTAAATGTAGCATTTTTTCATTCTTTGACTCTACAAACATACACTTTAAGACTATGTATACATGTCCTTCATGTGCTTGTATCTTAGCAATACATATTGCAAGGTTCCATGCAGGGGACGCTTCTAGTAGGCCCCTGATCCCACCAATGATTTTTTAAGGACCCATACTGTTTGCCCTGTCCACAATTTTTTATTAATTTAAACATTTCAGTACTACAGCAATAGACACAAAATGCTGAAATGCCCTGAGATTTTTTTTTTCTTGAAAAGTGACTAGTACTTGCACGTACATCTTTTTTTCTCTCTTTTCTTACTATTCTTTAATATTTAAATGGTCTATGCAAACAATTTTCTTCCTACGCCTGTTGTATAGTGTATAAATGCTTTTCTGAAAATGCCAATTACAAATACACACATAAATGGTAGATATTTTGAGACCATGTTTCAGGATGTTGCAATTGCCAAATGTAGTAATTTTGTCTCTTAAAGAAGACCTGTTTTATATATATTCTTAGGATTCAGAACCAAAGAGGTCTCCTGCTATGACCTTCAAATCGACACAGATAAATCGATCTGACACGTTTTAGCACTTAACGATATTCAGTTGAAATGATACGTCTCAAAGAACTATGAATGAGTTTATATTTCACTCTTGTTTTCTAGAGAAAGAGATACTGGTGGCAATCTTACAACTTTTTTGATATGGGATTGTGTTTTCAGTTTTTAAAAACTGTTTTGAGCGTGTGTCCTCAAGACTAAAAGAAATCAAACAGTTCGAGAAATTCGGAGAACTATATATGGTATAGTGTACATGTATACTTTAATGTAAATTACAAACCTATCAGTTTATGTTTATTCCCGTCATTTTAAAGAATAACCCCCCACCCGGCTGTAAAAAAAGCACATACTTTCTCATCATCGACTTTTAATAAATCGATTTCCAAGCTACACTGTAGGACCATGATTAATTGTTGTAATGTTACATAATATATTTAGAAATGTTTATAGAAAGGTATGACACGTATAAAATATTTTTAAAAACCTGTCATTTAATATTGATGAAAGTATTTTGAATATTATGAATTACAATAAAATAACGCAAAATTACAATCAACAGAGGATATCAATTACTTGGTACAGCGGTTTACCCATTGGTTAAATATGTCATGTGACAAGCAAATTAAATTGAATTCACTTATGGTGACAAAGCCTCGCATGTTATCGCCGGAAGTGATGGAAGTATTTTCTTAAAGATATGTATGATTTATTTTTAAAAGTCAAAGACGAGGAAGTTTTTTTTTACAGCCGGGAGGGGGGTTATTCTTTTAAATGACGGGAATAGACATAAACCGATAGGTTTGTAATTTATATTAAAGTATACATGTACCATATATAGTTTTGTGAATTTCTTGAACTGTTTTTTTTTAATTACGACGCACATTTAGGAGAGTGTGGCTAAGATATTCAGGAACTAAATTGTTTTAAATTATCAATACACTGCATAAATTGTACATGCATTGTTGTTTGTAAATATACTAGTAGTTTTTATTCTGGAAATCGTGTTCGATCTGTTTTCCATATCCAGTTTCCCTCATCCCAGCTTTTCCCACTTTGTTATTTTTCAAGCGGCATCAGCAAGATTTTTTTTAATTTGTCTCTGGTAAAATAAAATGTCAGTATCGTTTCCCCTCAGAACCTAATCAAACAAGCAAATTCAAGGAATTGTGGTCCCCCGCTTTCGGTGTCATTGTGGGTGAGATGTCATTTTTTATGATGTATTGTGTGTAATATGAACACCTATCCTATGTCATTTATTTAGAAATCATCACTGAACTCAAGGTCAATGTCAAAGGGTTAAAGTTCTTGGTATCCAATGTAAAGTTTTCTCATAAGGATTACATATTTGAAGTATGAAAGTCCTAGTCCTTACCATTCAAAAGTTATAGTCAAGATTTAAGTTTTTTATTAGTACAAAAATGTCCAAGGTCAAGGTCAAAAGGTCAAGGTTGTTGGTATCAAATGAAAGGTCTTGCCAAAAAGAATGCATATGTGAAATATGAAAGTCCCAGTATCTACTGTTCCAAAGTTGTGGCCAAGGTCAAAGTTTTTGAAAAGTAGGTCAAACTCTAAGGTCAAGGTCAAAGGATCAAAGTTCTTGTTATTTAATGAAAGGTCTTCTCACAAGGATTACATTTGTGAAGTATGAAAGCCCTAGCCCCTACCATTCAAAAATTTTGATCAAGGTTAAAATTTTTTCGTAAGTACACAAATCTCCAAGGTCAAGGTCAAAAGGTCAAAATTGTTGATATCCAATGAAAGGTCTTGCCACAAAGAATACATATGTAAAATGTGAAAGTCCTAGTATCCACCGTTCAAAAGTTATAACCAAGGTTATTGTTTTTAAAAAGTAGGTCAAACTCCAAGGTCAAGGTCAAATGATCAAAGTTCTTGGTATTTAATGAAAGGTCTTCTTACAAGGATTATGTATGTGAAGTATGAAAGCCCTAGTCCCTACCATTCAAAAGTTTTGGTTAAAGTTAAAGTTTTTTTTCATAAGTACATAAATCTCCAAGGTCAGGGTCAAAAGGTCAAAGTTGTTGGTATCCAATAAAAGGTCTTGCTACAAACAATACATATATGAAATATAAAAGTCCTAGTTCCTACCATTCAAAAGGTATGACCAAAGTAAAAGTTTGGAATTTTTGTGTAAAAGTGGGTCAAACTCCAAGGTCAAGGTCAAAAGGTCAAATTTAGTGGCACCGAAAGAAAGGTTTTGTCACAAGGAATACACATGTGAAATATGAAAGTCATAGCTCCACTAAATCAAAAGTTATGGGCAAGGTTAAAGTTTTTGTGACGGACGGACAGACTGACAGACAGACAGACAGACGGACGGACAGACGGACAGACGAATGAGATTTAATGTCCCCTCGCTTTCGCGAAAGCGGGGGACAATGAAGCACAATGAGATAACAAACAGTGTATTCAAGCTCAAACTCAAACTCCATTCAAACAATACATATCCTGAGCAAAGAAAACACGGACCTTTTAACATCAAAAAGGGAATCTGGTGTCATGGAGGAGTGAGCATCCCCTGTCTACCGGGTACATGTAGGCCTAATGAACTTAAAAAAAACTAAATATGTACAAATATTGCATATTCCCTTCGCAATCACAAATTCAAGGAAACAAAATTCTAATTCTAACTGAACAAAAAGCCTGTGCAATGTTATATGAATGAAAAGAGTTTTCCGGTTTACTAAAAAAAAAAAAATGATAATAAACTGAGATATTATTTAGAAACCAATCCAGGTTTTTCCACTTTGTTATTTTTTAAGGGACCCTCAACAATCATTTTATGATTTTTTTTAAAAAACAAAAAATGTTTTTGGTTAAAAAAAAATGAATGATTAATTTGCTTAGGAAAGAAAATGCTAGCACCGTTTCCCCTGAGAACCGCATCTGATCGTCTTCTCCCTTAATTTCTGATGCTAAATGACTTATGCGACTTGTCATCCACTGTAATTGTATACTAAGATTATATAGGCTGCAAAGCAAAACAGGTAGGGGTTATGTTGACGAATATCAATAGAATCATAATTATAGGAGAACTTTGGGGGGAAATTATAGCTCTGCATTACACAGCTTTGTGAAAGAGGTGACAAAATGAATTATTTGACAGGTGACAAAGAGGAAGGTTTTTTTTTTTTAAATTTACAGTCAGAACTTAAAAAAAAAAAATACTGGAAGTAAACTAGTTCTGAAAACTATAGGATAACTGGTACATGTAATATTAATAATGAGAAAGCTATTACGTACATGTTTTTGTACCCAAATTAGAAAAATATCATGAATCATGAATCTGGGATACCAGTGAATGTAAAATTGGCTCAGTTTAATTAAAGAAAAATCATAATTCATGATCATTTATTTTGTCTATTTCCTTCATTTTACATTGTTATCATTTGTATTCTTTTATTTATTTATTTTTTCATTTTTATTTAAGAAATAAGGTATCATTTTTTAAACATCTATCGGGATATAAATACGGGTTGGTCACGAGATTAAATTCCATAAAGCCCAAAGGGCTTTATGATGAATTTAATCTCGTACCAACCCGTATTTATAGCCCGATAGATGTTTTAAAATGATACCTTATTACTTATATTTACATTTGTGACTTATTCATACTTTATATTTGCCGTGACTTTTAACGTGTGAAATGCGTTATTTTTCAAACCCAACGGCATGTATGTAATCCTCTGAACGCGCGTCGACCCTTTATGACGTCACTGAGAAATTACGTCAAACGATTATCCATACGCACATCTATGACCTCTTGACCCCGTACCTGTATTTATACAGTTATAGATACACATTGCTTTCAGTAGTGTTATATAAAGGAAAACATTTGCAAATGTAAATATTTTTAAATAAACGTATGTCTTTTTCTTTTTAAAGTAAGTGGTACCATACCAGACATAAATATTGTTTCAGATCTGAATTAAGATGGCAGCACAATGAAAAAAAATGATGGGAAAGACTTTGAAAAGCAAAAATCCTATTTCGTGCGGGAAGGGGGGGGGGCGAGTATACGTATATGGGTATATATAAAACCTTCTTTTACAACTAAATTTTATAAAATTTGTTTACAAGTTAGTCTTTTAAATCTTACGAATCAGTACGAATGTACAATTAAAAAAAAAAAATAATCCATACATTCAAAATCTTCAAAAAAGTCGATTAAAGAATTTAAGGAGATAATTTTTTAAAATAATAAATGGTTAAGTCAGGGGCGTAGCAACAGGGGGGGGGGGGCACTTTTTTTTTACCAACCTTACTTATACTAGGAAATGTTAATTGAACGCCTGGTTGCCCCCCCCCCCAACTTTTAGTGATGCACCGAAAATGTAGCATTAGAATTGGTACTTAGAGTAGTAGACACTGAGAAAAAGTTTACGTCCCCCCCCCCCCCCCCCCCCCCCCCCGAAAAAGGATTTTCGACTTTTGGCAATTTTTTTCTGTTTTTTTTTTTTTTTTTTTTTTGCTTGTCAACATTTTCAGATAAGTAAAAAAAATTCTGGCTGCCCCCCCCCCCCCCCCCCACACACACACACACTTTCAAAAACGATGCTACGCGCCTGTAAGTTCATAAACTTTATAATAATACACATTGGAAGAGTTTAGATACATATCACGGATCCAGGGACTTTTCTTGTGTGTGTGTGTGTGTGGGGGGGGGGGGGGGTCAACCCAGAAATTTCTTCACATGGAAAAGAATAATAAATTCGTTCCCCAAATTTGAAAACCCTCTTTCAAGGAGGGGACCGCTTTTTCATGACGACTCTGTAAATTCTAGGGGGTGTAGGTGGACCCCGACCCCCTCTAGATCTGCGCTTCACAGTGTAAATTTGATGCCAGGTATTCAAAGATACTTATCAGTCCTATGTGGGAGCTTGGCAAGAACAAATATTCTGAATATATGTAAAAAAAAAAATAATAATAATAAATAAATAAATAAATAAATAAATAAATAAATAAATAAATAAATAAATAAATAAATAAATAAATAAATAAATATGATATGACCAGAAATAAGTTTAACACTAAAAATTAAACCTAATGTATTTTGTAAAAAAAAAAAAATAGAGAGAACTCATTGCAATATTAACTGTTATATGAAATTCATCTCAATAATAAATGCTATTCATCTCAATCATAAGTATTTCCCCGTAATTTCCGTTTATTAGCTTTACCCATACCTGTTCAAGTCATTCGGTGCGCAACTGACTACGCAAGTCTATTTATAGAATGTCAATTCACCGGTACCTGTAACCGGAAGTCACACCTGAGGTTGGCGTAGACCTTTGAGACGACGAAATACCGTCCCTCAGGACAGGTGAGTGATTGTTTTTATGTATTGTCAGGTAGTTTTCCAAAGTAAGTCAGTTTCTTTTCAGGAATTACTCGCAGTCTCTCCGTTTGAGCGGGAACTCTGTTTTCCCATCAGACCTTGTTGATTTTTCGTTGAAGTGCATAACTGGATCCACCTATTTTTTGAAGCTTTTTTTTCTTCAGTCGCGATAAGCGGTTATACCCGCAGGGTATATGATTTGACATGTAATGATTGCAGATTAAATCATTTTATTGTGTTTTAAATGTTACGTAACAGGGGCTGGGATTTGATAATATGGACATTCCAATCCGTTGTTTCATGTTTGATAGTTGGGGCGGATCACCGTCCTTCGTATCTTATCTGGAAACTTTCAATCTTCAGGGTTAATGAGGGAGAAAATTTGCTGCCAGGTAATCTAATGTGCAGGCTGGCATGCAATGGGCTAATCGACAGCTAGTGCCGTCAAATACACATTAACATGATTAAAAAATTAAATAAACTGAAGAAGTTGACCAGTGCATAAATAACATTGTCAATATGTTGGTTATACACTTGTTTATAATTTCACGTTTTATTAAAGATCTGAATAAATCATGCATTAATTAATTGCATTGATGTTTGAAGAAGTATACAACTATACATGCATGTAAAAATTTTGTATTCTTCATGTATGGTATAATGATAAATATTAATTATGTTTGTCAAATTTCTGTCATGACTGGTATAGATCAGAGAAAAAAATTAAAGGGAATGAAAATTGTCATGCACCAGCCCCCCCCCCCCCCTATAAAGGGGGAAGCTTCATCTTTCCAAAATTATGATAAATGTCATGATTGTATTTTATTATACAAGAACTAAAGGCACTAAATTCAGGTCATAGCTGCATGTCTTTGATAGCATAGAGAAGAATGATGAGCCACTAATATATCATGACATATTGTGCACTACTGTACATTGTATTTAAGAGAAGTAAATTCTAAATCAATAGGAAAGAAATATTAGCTTTCAGCTTTGCTTTCAAAAACTCAGGTAGATATTGATATTTGTTTCCATGGCAACAGCTAGGAGAGACAGGTGTGTAATATTGCTGACTATAGATAATTCTGTCTGTATGTACCCACACCACTTTACTGCATCAATGATTTATGTGTATGTACTATCAGTTACTGAAGATTTATAGAGCAGGTTATTTCCTGTGAAAGATTTTAAAGAAGAAATCTATCGATAAATGTTATCTATATGTGACTATAGTAGAATGTAGATTATACATGTACTTATATTTTTTGTAAAATTTGTTATAATATTTTAGGGTGAAACTATGCATGCACAGACTTTACGAGATTTTCAATGATTTAAATAATTTTAACCTTCAGTAACTGTTTATTTTCTTCTACATTCAAAATGTTCTACATTTTCTCTAACGAGACTCTACCTGAAACAGCAAATATTCATTATAATATTAAGTGTACATGTAAATATAGGCCCAACACGTTCACAAAGAATGTACAGAATTTTGGTAAAAAGATTTATTTTATAAATATGATGAATATTTGCTACTGCAGTTATGTACATACATGTAATACAAAAGATCAAGAGAAAGAGGAGAAATTATTAATTCATTGGGTGACAAATCTACTAATTATGCTGCTACATTGTAACAGTACAGATTTATTGTATTGATTTAAGTGTAGGGCAGTAGGTGACAATACTATGTGGCTATTGTAATAGGATTACTTTAATTGAATAATGCTGTCTGACAGTCAATGTATGTTTTCTGAAAACATCTGTATATATACATGATATAAATGGACTGGCCGCCATCATAGGCTTGTATGGAATAGTTTGTTTTTCATTTTTCTGCCACAATTGAAAGACCATTCATATGCCAAATATACTTCATCTGTGGTATTGGTTAATTGTTTCCCTTTGATATTAAAAAAAAATCTTGCTTGAGAGAGGGTCTTGGTATTTACAAGCAGCATGCATTCCCATTCATCTGTAAATAATTTAATGTTCAAAATATTACCTTCATTAAATTAAAAACATAATTAATTTCAAACATTGCTCCCCCCTTTTTTCTATATCTTCATGAAAATTATCATATTTCTTCTGCCAGTAAAAGTTAATCTGATTTTAATAATTGTAACCAACTTTAATTCATGTGCAAGATATATCTTCGAGTTTTGCGACAAACTTACTGTCACAAATGTAAATCGTTGCGATTGAGTCATTTATTTTGCTTTGTATTTATAGAATCACGTTTCCTCAGTAGAGAAAATTAATCGTTGCAGATTGATTTCAAACTGACAAAAAATCATGTATAAAAGATATGACATTAAGTATAGTTGGTTTACCGAAATTGTTTATTGCAGTTAACATATGATGAAACATGTATATACAACATGTACAACTGAATTAAATGGTTTTTTGGTTTATTGATAGAAAACCTCATCTATATTTCATATATAGCAAATATGGTTACAATGGCTTTCATTAGTAATCATTTATGAATAATTAAAGTCATTCTGTAGTTAACACTTAACTTCCAATAGAAAGGCATGTTATTGTTTTTACAGTAATAAAATAGGTGTAAATTTTATAAACATGGGACTGGTGCACTTGTACTTCTCACTTCTCAATCTTGTTATCTGTCAAAATTACATCAAATCAAACATCAGAAAAATGAGTAAAAATCTCTATGAAGGACATAAAGTTGTCTGTTTTAGTATCTTAAAAAGAAGAATTTTCTTGTGGGCAGGTGTGAATTAATTAAATGCATCAGGCAGATACATTAAATAATGCACTGTGCACTTTATAGTATTCACACTTATTAACTCTATGGACTGTACCTGCTTGTAAAACAACACACTGTATAAACTTAAAACAAGGAAAAAGCCAGGATGAAGCTGTGTATTCTTGTGTATCCTGGCTTCCAACATTTAATTGATTAATGAATTTAATTATTGTGGAGCCTCAGCTATGTTATCATCTAATGTTTGGTTTAATTTTCCTCCAGTCTAGATATTATCAAAGGGAGATAATTAGCAGACTTGATATTTTCTTTATTCTTTCTCTTGATATTTTGCCATTTGATAGAAGTTGGTGTCTTTTATCTTGATTTCAGTTGTGAATAATGTCCAAAATTCAACAATTTGTTTTAATTTCACACACATGTAAATGCTGAAACAAAAACTTAATTATGTTGATAAACAAACATCATGGCCTTTGTTTTAGATCTAAGGCCTCACACTCTGACATACTAGCAGTCTTCAATCAAATTCAATGTCTAATTAATTAAGTTTTTTTACCAATATGGTAACCCAGTGTTTTTTTTCAATTTATTTGTGACTGTACTTCTGTATGTTTTATAGAATGGTGTTTAAATTGGTTGATTAATAATAAATTTGTTCCACAAATTTTTCTTGAAAGCTCTCATTTCAGAAAATTTTAGATTCAGTCTCATTTGTGCAGAGATGTAGGTTATATAAATTATAAATTTCCTATGGCAACGCCACTACTTTCCTCTGCAAATAATTTTTATCTGGCATGTTATTCAGTACACAAACCTGTAGTATTTTTGGATACAAACAGAGCTAGATCCACATAATTTAGAATTACCAGGAAGTTGGTACAATTTTTTGCCTTTATTACACTTCACTTTTTGCCTTGATTGATTGTTGTGAACAATAAGTCTGATGAGTGATTTTTATTTTCCAGATCTCGATAGCTGACCATGGACGGGGGTAAGAAGGTCTGGGTGCCCCACCCGACTGAGGGGTTCAAACTGGGGCGTATCGTGGACATCGGGAGCGACAGTATTGCCATAGAACCATTCGACGCTCCCGGCACTGTAAGTTACTAAGTTACAATCAGTAACATTACACTCATCAAAATCCTTCATTATGTAGTGTTGGCTTAATGCACTGTAAGTCAAACTTCAAATTGCAGGATAATTTTGTACATTTATCAAAAAATGTCATTCAAATGTTTTGTCTTTGTAAATTAGTTTGTTTCACAGGACAATTTTGTACATTCATAAATATCCTTCATTATATTGTGATGTCTTAATGCATAGTTTCATAAAAATGATATTTCTCTCAAGCTCTGATTAGATGGTTTTATAAAAAATATAAAGTTTTGAATTGTATTTGTGTAATTGTATGAAAGTAATAATTTTATGCTAAATAATTGATTTCCAAATAATTAGAAAAAAAGAACTTACCTTTAACAATTTTTTAAGTCATTTGTATAGTCATCTTTATTTAGTGGTAGTAACATCAAGTCAACAGTATAATTAAAAAGTAATTCAGCATTGAAAGATGATTGAAATGACAATTTCTACTGGAGTCCCAATAAAATAAATCCTTTATTTTAATGTCTTGCCCCAGGGACGGGAAATAGGAACCTAGTAATTATCTCCCTTTATTCTCCCTTTATTCAGAGTCTCTTGAAAGTTTTTGTAAAGATGCTTGGTTTATCCAATCTGCTCCTTTTCTTATTCTGTTAGTTTTATTTTCAAGCAGACCCTGTCACTCATCAGTTTGAAATGTAAGATGATTCTATGACTTACAGAATGCATTGTTTGTTTGTATGTTTGCATGTATATAATCAGTGCTATATTTGACAATTTATGATCTACTTAGAATGTGTTGATTTTTTGTAGACAATCAATGCTATTTACGATCGGACGTTTCCTGCGGAGGAATATGATAACAAAGATGTGGATGACAACTGTAAGTTCTTATTGTTTTAAAGAAGATAGGTGTGAATTAAAATTGAAATTTAGACTTAATTTAATTAATATCACCTTGTAAGCCACACTACCAGCTCAGCTTAAGACAAGATTTTATAGATTTCACAGAGTACTACATATACTTTTAATATGATCAATTATATTCCTGTACCATAACTTTTAATGTTATTTGATATACTGTAAATGTTCTACGTCAAGTCTTGTTTTGTAGGTGCTCTTATGTACCTGAATGAAGCCACTCTCCTGAACAACTTGAGAATTCGATACATGAAAAACCAGATCTATGTAAGTCACTGAGATATATTTCTTGTCAAATAAAGCTCCATGTGAAAAAAAAGATTATTATCCTATCATATTCATCATGCAGTGAAGTTTGTTGTTTATTTTTAATTTAGAAAAAAGTTTTATAAGCAAATCGATCATGATCCCTCCTCCCTCGGCAAGGTTTTGAAGTTTTACAAACAATTCTGATTTGTTTATATTTGCACCTGAATGCCATCCTATTGTTTGATTACTGATCATTACTTACAGACATACACTGCCAACATCCTGATCGCCATTAACCCGTACTATGAGATTCCTGACTTGTATACCTCGGCCACCATCAAAAAGTACAAAGGGAAGTCACTGGGGACTCTCCCTCCTCACGTTTACGCTATAGGTATGTGTACACAGTCCTCTGAGAACTCTTTTCTGTTACAAACAAATTTTACTATATTTATTTCAAGTGTAAAGAATTCTGTTCACCACTCATTTGTGCCATCTATTTTAATTGTATTTGGATTATTTGATGCATTATTAAATTATTTTTTAAAAAAAAATAGTGCACAGGATGTGTTTGAGGCAATAGTAATTTTTAGTTTTCGATTCTTGATGCAGAAAAGAATCATTGAGTTCACTATTGTATTCAAACTAGTGGAAGGATTCTAGTCAACAAAAAGTTATTGATAAGAGTTATCTTTCTTGGAACACATTGCATTTTCATTGACATTTAAATCAAGAATAAATTCTGATTTTTTAAATATTAATCATGATTTTCTTTTCTTTTTTGTTTTGTTCTCTAA